GCTAGCCTATACAATTATATTCTCTTAAGTGTTGACTTGCTCTATAGTCTTCAGTGATCTGAAAAATCCCAGGTCTTCTCACCTTACAGAGATAGGCAGGTTTGAAGTCAGTCTCTCAGGGAGCATCAGTTGAGAGTTTAGATGCTGGTTATGTAGTTGAACTTTGGGGTACACTGCAAATGCCCATGGGGTCCACCAAGCTCCTCAAGAACCAGCTGCTGCCTACTCCAAAGTCTCCAGGAACAGGCCAGTGAGAAGATGGATGCTAGTATAACATCTGGAAAGGTTGCTGACCAGGGAAACTAGATTTGTGATATTCTGATAGATTATCTGAAGTTGTTTATGCTTTTTGTGGTTCTTATACACATTTTGCATATTCAGAAATAACTTTCTTATGTGTGTCCATGTAACATGCCCTTGAATTATACATGAAAATCTATTTTTTCAAGTCAGGAATTTATGACAAAGCAGTACACTCATCCCATATTTTCTTAAAAGAGAAACTTGACAAAACTATTTTATAATCATTCCAATCTCAAAGCCTGACAGAGCTACTAACATATAACTTTCTACAACATATTGGTGTTTCATTCAATTGTTTATATTTTAAGAATAAGTATGAGTAACTCTTGAAAATTCATGAATGTATGACTATGAAGTATCATGTATGGAACTTCACAGAGAGAAATTCAGTGTATATTGTACCACACTCTAGAACATCTATAAAATGAGAGTGTACAGTTTCACCCTCGAAATGATAGTAAATAAGCCACACTATTTCATCTTACAAATTACTGATCAATAAATCACATTTTAAAGCTGCTGAGTAATTACTAGCTGAAGCTTCAAGCAATAGCATCCTCATTAACATATCAACACATTTATAGCAATAATTTCTGTCATGGGCTTGTATATGTGAAACAATATATTATTCATGTAATTCAGACTTATTTTGTTAATGCATAATTAAAATGCTATTATTGGGGCTAAAATACATGTGTACTTTATATAAAAACTATAAAATTGTTGTAAAAACTAAATGTAGTCAATCTTTAAAAACTGCAAGTGTAATATTTGGGATGAGCAGATTCCTAAGTTTAAGGAAAATTTATTTTTATTAAAGACAATGGTACTATAATGTTTTCTAAATATCAATTTGACTTGAATTACTTTAGCAGAAAGAAAAGATAATTAACTTTAAAAATGTATTCAAAACACTTTCAAGTATTGAGCCATTGCAGGTTGTTACTGTGAACACAGGAACAAAAGAGGATCACAGAGAATCACAGCTGAGGTTAGTTTGAGGGGAACAGAAGACACTAGGACCTTATGCTTGACAAAAACCTACATGGCCATTTTGTTGACTTGCTGGATGTCAATGTAAATACAATAAAAATGAGGAATAATCTAGGGCCTACATTTTGATAGCCACTATCATTTTTAGTCTTTCAGGAATCCTAACCTGATTTTCACAGTGAAGAGCCAAGGCAAAAATCATCATATTACTTATGAAAGAGAGAAAATCAGGAAAGGGAAGTAGGTCCAGAGAATTGTCTTTACTGAAGCCCAGTCTTCAGGGGAAAAGATGTGAAATGGAGCAGTGTGTGACTCTGCCTTGTCTAGTCATTCTACCTCTCCTGAGGAGAGAAGGACTAAGATGGGAATGGCAGTAAAGGTCATAGCCAAGGGACTACAACACCAAGGTTTAATTTTGGAATTCTAGAAAGCTCAGTGACTTCACCTCAGTGCTTCTGTAAACCAATAGTGAAATAGAACAAAAGCTATGAGCAGTGGCTTTCACAAGAAGTCTTTAGTGGAGTCCAAAGACAACAGAGAACACAGAACAAAGAATAAAGAACAAATTGGAAATCTGTATCACAGCACTCTGACCAGAAAGCAACTTAAGAGAAGAAACTCTATCCTTCAAAAGTGAAGGCAACACATTTATACTCATATACATAATATTTACATGTAGTATCTTATATATGTAAGACTGTATATAAATAATTATTGAAACTCAAGAATAATAAAAATGAAAAAATACCCGAGAGAATACCTTACCAAGGAAGTTGTATAGGTGGAGGTGGCAAATAAGAACAAGGAAAGAAATTTGGTGCCATAATTCAGAGAAATCAAGAATTAAACATCATTGAGACATCACTATAGATCCACTAGGATGGGAATCCAAAGGCTGATGAACACAAATGCTGGTGTGGACATGGCTAACAGGAACTCTTTTTTATAGGAATGAAAATGGCAAGATTGTAAGGATTTCATATAAAATTAAAATACTCTTACCAAATAATGCAAAAATCTCCTTGGAATTTATCTAAATGATCTGAAACCATTATGGCAGAATGAAACCTGAGCCTGGATATTTATAGCAGCCTCAGTCATAATTGCTAAATCTTAGAGGTATCCAAGATGTCCTTCAAGAAGGGAATGGATGTAACTCTGTTACATCATGACAATAGATTCCATTCACCACTCAAATAAAGGCAGTCAGAAGCACAGAAATGATTAGTACATGCTGCTCTTTGAAAAAGACAATATAAAAGTGTGGTGAGGTTCCAGCCACACAGCCTTCTGGGACAGATCAAACTATGAGTAAAAAGGGTGTCAGCTCTGGAGCTAGAAGGGTGAGAATCTGAAGCTAGAAATTTTTAAGAGAGTGATTGTTACTATAAATCTTTCTGCCAAAAGCCACCTGAGCCCCACCACCACGTGTGAGCTTTATGCCAGCTGCCCGCCCGAGTTAGGGCCAAATGAATACACAGAAACTTGTATTAGGTTCAAATGTGCTTGGCCAATGACTAGGATTCTCATCTGTTAGCTCAATCTTAATTATTATAAATCTATATATTTTATAAGGCTTATCTTATCGGACGCCTTATTTGCATCCTCCCGTGCCAGTGGATCATATCCTGCCACTGGAGGAAGCGAAGGGAAAAAGGGGGCGCTTTCTGTTTCTCCTTCTTTAAATATGAGTCTCCTTGCTATGTCACTTCCTGCCTGGATCACCACTTCTCTACTATATTTCCCAGAATCCTCTTTGACTCCTAGTCCTTTCTAACTTGCCATTTCATTGGCCAAACAGTATTTTATTTAACAGTCAATAAGATAAACATACACAGTACATTCCTCATTATCTCCTCTTTGCTGTCTAAATAAAAGGATAACATCTTTTATAATAACTGAAGAAAACTATAACCATAACTATCTGTCTTCAACTCTATCAAAGACCACAGAAGGATAATATATAAACTCTAGAATTGACAGGACATCTTGCTACCTGGACAGTCACCCTTAGTTCCTCTGTAACGTTGGGGCATCCATCTTCAGCCTATAGGCCACAGTGCGTCTGGCACACTTCTCCATTTCAACAGGAACCCTTCAGTACTGTCTTGTTTTGTAAGTTCAGCAGTCACTTTCTTGTGGGTCCTGTATGTCCAGTTTATATAGCAACAAACAGTCCAGGCAAGAGCAGTTTCTTGCCCGAATGGCTAATCTTGCCATGTTGAAAGTAAACTCCATAACGAGTTTCTTCGATGCCCATCCTTCCTCTGTAGGGTCTTATAATTATGACATCTTAAGTGCACAGAGAAAATCAGTATCTTACTACAGCCCTTATAATATTCTTCTGTATTTTTTTAAAAAATTAATTTTCAAAATATGAATGTTATAAACTAATACTTATATTTAATACTTATGAAATTATTTATTTAAAAGTTTTAAATGAGTGAAATAACAGAAAATAATGTTTCTTTCCAACATAATATTTTTGTTGATTAGCTGAGAATTTCACACATTGCACCCTGGTCACATTTGCTTCCTATTCCTCTCAGGTTCACCCTCTACTCTATCTTCCCCCAAAACTAAAAAAATTAATACACCAAGAACAATTTATGTTGCCCTTATGCTCATTGGAGCATAATCGAACTCTCAGTGGTCAGCCCCTTAAAGGTAAATGAATAGTTCTTTCGCATCACCACACAAAAACATGAGGTGGATTGGTTTGTTTGCTTTGGTAATGTTATCATTTTAATTGAGAATATATTTTTATATAATATATTCTATTTATGGTTCCCCTCCCCTAACTCCTCCCAGATCCTCCCCACTTCTCCACCTATCCAAATCCATACTTTCTATTTCTTTCTTTCTCCTTAAAATATAAACAGGCTTCTAAAAGCTAATAAATGTATTTCTTAAGAACAGTGAAGTAGTTGTGTGGAGCAGAAATTCAGGAAGAGTTTTGGATAAGGGTCATTATCAGAGAAAAGAGACAATGAAGAAGGATATCATGCCAATCGTCTAGAGGCACAATGACAAGAAATCTATTGCTGTGAATAATTTGATGAGAGAACATGAGGTAAAAACGAGCAAAATTAATCTGCCATTAGTAAGAGAAATCTTCACTTCCATCTGGAAGCATCAACACTCTTTAAATAACTAAAATATTAAATATCCAGAAAAAGAGTAAGCATAGAGTTGACCTGAATAGTATTATAAACCAGTTTCATTTAATTGACATTTTTATTATACTTTATTCCCATCAGCTTTTGAAAACCTCATCATCACAGATGTTATTCAGTGCCAGAAAGATACCTGAACAAACTTAAAAAATACAGAAATAAAAAAAGTACAAGTACAACCAAGAGGCTGAGAATAGGGCTCAGTGCACATTGTTAAAGCAAGAAGACCTGAGTTCAAATCCTCAGGCCCCCACATAAAAGCCAGTAATCTGCTGCATGGGTATCTATCTAATTCCAGCATTGGGATGCAGACACTGGTGGATCTCTAAAGTTAGCTGGCCAGCATGCTTGGGAAATAATGAAAAATTCAAATTCAATGAGAGATTGTGTGTCTGAAAGTAAGGTATAAGGATTAGCAAGATGGCTCAGTATGCAAAGGCTCACCTCCAAACTGCACAGATCCTCAGGACCCATGTAGTGGAAGAGTGCGCACACGTACACACACACACACACACACACACACACACACACACACACACACACACACCTAATAAATAAGCAAAAATACAATTAAATAAAAAAAATAAAAGTGACAAAGGATAGAAGAAGACACCAGGGCCCTCTATAGGAGTGCATATGGACATATGGAACTCTCTCTCTCTCTCTCTCTCTCTCTCTCTCTCTTTCATACACCCCACACCCCCATACACAAATTGTACATATACAACACGCACACACACACACACACACACACAATCATATGCATGCCCCCCACATTATGTTGACAGACTACAGTGATCTGATTAGCAACAGAAATATAGCTACAGAAATCCCTATATATTTGGCAACCAGTAAAACACTGACACATGACACTAACATAAAATAAGTTAAAGATTGCAAGAACCAGATCAGGCATTTTTCTACAAGATTGTGTCTACTACAGATGTCAGAAGTTGTATATACAAAATCTCATCCACATGACTACCTAAACATTAGCTGAACAAAGACAACACCAATAAACATGCAAAGTGAATGGAGCAGTGGTAGAGGGTAGCTCATAAGGCCTAAGTCCTACATAGAAAACTACAGGCAACCCAGGAATGCTAGGAATGGGAGAAACAGTCTTCTGCGGGGAATAGCACAACTGGTTATCCAATACCACCAAATGGCCAGCCCTGAAAACATACATACGTAAATACATACATGCATGCATACACACCATTATGCAGACTTAGCAGGTTAGATTTAGGAATGCATATGACAACATTTAATGAAGAAAGAGTCCATGAATTTGAAAAAAGCAAGGAGGGGTATGTAGAATGGTTGGAGGGAGGTACAGTAAGGAATAAATACTGAAATTATATCATAATATCAACATTGGAAGAAAAATTAAAGTGTTCAAGAAAAGTTGAAGATATTTTGAAAAAGTGAGTGTAACAATGCAACTTGTTAAAATTGGTAGAATGCACTAGCTAGAAAAGTAGGATCAGTAATGATTACTTGTATTTCACAGATTTTTGTTAAGAAGGAGTCTTGCTATGTAGCTGAGGTTGTTAAAGTCATGGTGATCCTCCTGTTTTAGCCTCTGGGAAGCCTGAAGTGGCTGTGGAATCCCAGGTAACACTTGGAGGCTGTCTGTCAACTCGGCTGTGGGAAGCCCTTGTCATCTCAGGAAGTATAAAGTGCCACCTTGGTTGTTCACATGGTATCATAGTTAGGGTTAATATTGCTATGATAAAACATCATGACTGAAAGCAAGTTTGGGGGGAAATCTTACACTTTCATATTACTGTTCATCATTGAAGGAAGTCAGGGCAGGAACTCAAAACAGGGTAGGAATCTGGAGGTAGGAGCTGAAGCAGAGGCTGAAGAAGGGCTTTGCTTACCAGTTTGCCCTCACCATGGTTTGCTCAGCCTGCTTTCTTATAGAACCCAGGGGCAGCCCCACCCACAAATGGCTGGGTCCTCCAGGTCAATCACTCATTAAGAAAGACAATGTCCTACAAGATATCAAGGTATTATCTTAATTGAGGTTCCCTCCTCTCAAATTCCTTGAGCTTGTATAAAGTTGACACAAAAGTAGTCAGTACAGCTGACCTCTTGTCAACTTGACACACAAACACATTTTCTTCAAAACTCTAAAATCAACTTTAAAAGTTCAGTCTTTTATCTTTGGGTTGCTGTAAAGATCAAAATTAAGTTAAATATTTTCAAGAGAGAAGAACCAGGGCACAGTAAAAATCAAATCAAAGCAAAACCAAACTCTAACAATGTGAATAACTCAATATCCAACTATCTGGGATTCACTCACAATTTTCTGGGCTCCTCCAATGGTACTGGATTGTTCAGCTCTGCCCTTTCTAGCACACATACCTTGTCTTTTAGGTTCTGACTGGCACCACTCCAGTGCTGCTGCTGGTGGTCATTGCATGGTATTGGTATCACCAAAAATGCTGTTTATCTTCTGCTGCAACTGGGCTGCATTTTCACCAATAGTATCTCATAGCCAAGCCTCAATTTCTCCGAATGACACCTTCAATTTCCCTCTGAAACTTCACAAGCCAGGCCCCCATCCTCTGCATTGGCTTCAACATTCTTATCTTCGAAGCTCCTTCAGAACAGCTCACCAAGCATGAACATTCAATGGATTTTCTTGCACAAAGTTTCAAATTCCTTCCACAATCCTCCTTGTAGGCATCTTGTCTGTGGACCTGTAACAGTGACCACACCCCTTTGGGTGTGGCTCCAGGCATAAGAAAACAGAAAGAGAGGAGCTTGAGGCATGGCTTTCTTTTGCGAGCTTTTTCGGTTGAGTCAGTGGACAAGGTAGGAAGAACAGGGAAACGCTCAGGTGGTTCTTTGTATTTTTTTTTGTGTCATTGTTCTCCAATAAGCAACCATTTATCATTTATCTTGGGTCTAGTGACATAATTACATCCTTGCCTTAAACTCCCCAAAACAACTTTGTCAGGCACAATCCTAGTACCAACTTGTCTTAGGGTTACTATTGCTTGATGAAACACCATGACTGAAAGCAAGTTGGGAAGGAAAGGGTTTATGTAGTTTATGCTTTCACATCACTGTTCATCACTAAAGGAAGTCAAAGGAACTCAAAACAGGCCAAGAACTAACCTGGAGGAAGGAGCTGATGCATAGACAGTGGAGGGACTCTGCTTCGTGGCTTGTTCCTCATGGCTTACTCAGTCTGCTTTTTTAAAGAACTCAGGGATGGTCCCACCCACAATTGGCTGGGCCCTTTCTATCAACCACCAATTAAGAAAATGCCCTACAAGCTATCCCGCCCTCTCTGATGACTTTAGCTTGTTTCAAGTTGACAAAACTATCAGTTCACATGGACTATTTTAAATGCTTTTGGAGAACAGCTTAGTGGTCACGGAAATAGGAACAACTTAAATACCAGCATTGGCTCTCTCAACTGCAAATTTGAAAATCTGAGAAAAATTAAATAACTCCCATCTAAATGAAAACTAAACCATGCCAAACAAAAATAGTCCTACATAGCTACAATATCTTACACGTGGTATTTCACTGGTGTACAATTTAAAAGCTGTATATTTTCTTTTTATTCGTTCTGACCACATTAGGTGACATTATTTCAGAGTAGTGTTTAAATCATGCTTTTTTGTTGTTCACTTGCTCTATCACCATAGAAATCAGTGTTAGTATTCAGGAATCTGTACTGGCCTGTCCTTGGGTTCTCAAAGAATATGCCCTCAGCTGCAGCCACTAAAAGCACCACCTGTGAATATTCACTATGTTCCCTCTTAAAAGGGCCCTGCCCACCTCCAATTCTTCTCTCTCTCTTTCTTTCTCTCCCTGTCTGTCTGTCTGTTCCTCTCTCTTTCTCCCCCTTTCCTTTCTCCTCTCTCCTGCTGCTCTTATTTCTGAGGCCTGTCTTCTCCCTTCCCTTTCCCCGTTTTGTGATCCCTTTTCCTAATTAAAGAAATCCCTCTGCTTGAACCCTGTTGCATGTTGTTTCCATGACAGAGTATAACAAATGTTGCTTTATGCATTTTGAGGGTGTTTTATTAAGTTTTATTGTATTTCATTGATCTCTCTCTTCATCTCTAATAATGCTTTGTTTTCTGTGGGAAATGTATTGTCAAGTCCCTTTTTATATTACATCCTTTTTAACCTTTCAATGTTATATCATACACAGAATATTATTTGATTTGGGTTTGTCATCCACATACTTACTACTGCATTTTAAATAAAGTCTTTATGGTTGATTGATATGTTAGTATTTTAGGATGCTTTTTTCTATATGTAGTAATTTAAACTATTCTAAATCCTTTCCATTTTTAGACTGGATGCTTTCTTTTTATTTATTTTTTCTTCTCAATGCCTTTTCTTGCTCATTTAGGTTGTTTCAAATCTCAACTAACACATCATAGCACATCAGCCTGAAAGATGACAACAAAAGTTCTTGTGTATTTTTGGAGATAATTCAAAATATTCTGATATTGGAACATTTACAAGATCTAAAATAGGCAGAATTTTTGTTGTTTAGACAGGGTCTCACTATGTAGCTGAGGCTATCTTCAAATTCATGATAATCCTCCCCAAAGCCTGAAGTATAGGTATGTGCCACCTTTCTTAGAAGTGTTTTAATCATTAGGAAAGGAAGAAACATACAATGGGGCCTTGCTCAGTTTATGCATTCACTTTGGATTATGTAACTGTGGAGACAAAAAAATATGGCAATGAATTCTGAAGAGGGAACTCATTGCAGGAAAGTTACAGAGAGATGCCCAGGGAGCCTGAGTCTGCTGTTGATCACTGAGCAATTCATGCATCTTCTGGACAAAGGTCCAGATGCAGGAGACATTTGAGGAAGTATAATTATGATGCAGAGTACAGATCATGGAAATACGTAGAAATGGAGCCCCAAGACTTTCAAAGGCAGCTTCTAGAGAATGCATTCTGGTTTTCTGACCCCATCTTCTCTCACCTCTCTTTCCCCTGTGTGGCTCCCATGCCTTCCCACTGCCATTTCCTGCTCTTCTCTCTTCCTCATCCATGCCTTTTTGTTTTATGTCCCTCTAGGTTTGACCAAAGCTATCTTTGTAGTCTTGGTATTGGAATTTTCCTCTGGGACAGAGACTTGCAGCCTCCAAAGATGCTAAGAATAAATGAGAGATGAGGACTCAGACCTAATCAATTCATTTACACAACGCTATTGACTATACCAACCTAACAAAGTAAAGTTACATGTTGACTGTTTTGAACATTCATCACTGGTGATGTCTTAGGGGGATAATTCAAATAGATCAATAGTGAAAGCTAGTCTGTAAATGCCCTTTCAAATTCTGAAACAGCTCATTAAGATTTTGGATTGATCTGTGAGTACAGTTGCTCCCTAAAAGCCTCAATACTCTTTAAGAAATTCAACCAAATCCAACCACTCATCGTCTTAAAAGTCTAGTGGCTATCGCCAAATAAACAAAATCATCAGACATCTAAAATAGCAGGGTAATGTGGCATGTAACATAATTTTTAAAATGAACTTTATAGAAAGAGACTCAAAAGTGGCAGATGCAAAGGATTAGTAGTTCAGAAGAAACCGTTTTTTAGGTCACTTCCTGCTTATTTCCCTATTGTCTCTTAAATTTTTAGGCTTTTTTTCTCCTGTATATTTGCTTCTCCACTCAGCATCACAATTATAGAGAACATTTTCCCCCAAATTTGTCTCTTCTACTGTCTTTCTAGTCCATTTCTTAAATTTAGAACCCATGTTCTTTATGTTTAGGAGTTATGCCTTATGATTCTTTTTCTTTCATTTCAATTGTCATTATACATGGTTTTTCCTATAAAGGCTATAATCACTGAATAGAAAAACCACAGTCAAATGTGTATGTTCAAATAAAAGTAACAGGACATTGAAAACAGAAAGGATATGTGAGCTGTGATAAGTAAAATATTAAAAATGAGGCAAATGAAAATATTTTTAAAAATCTTACAATCTCAGTTGCTTGAGACACAAATTCAGACAGCATGTACCTGGTAACAAGTGGACAGATACATCAGTACAAAGCGAAAAACAAGGGTGAGGCAGGCAGATCTCTGAGTATGATACCAGCCTGTTCTACAGAGCAAGTGCCAGAGAGCCAGGACTACACAGAGGAAAACAAACAAAAAGCAAAACAACCACCAGCCTTGGAATGTCTCTGTGCACAGTTATGCTCCTGACATGTGACAGATGTACTAAGGAAATCTAATCTATTCAAGAAACATTTGGGTATTTAAACAAAATTAACTTTAAATCTATCTTACTGTTAGGAGTCCCAGCTACACAACTGTCACATAGATGTAGAAGGTCTAGATTGGTCCCATTCAGGTTCCCCAATTGTTGGTTCAGACTTGTGAGATTCTATGAGCCCAGTTAGTTGATTCTGTGGGCTTACTTGTTAAGTCATTGACCCCTCTGGCTTGTACAATACTCCCCCCCTCTTTTCAGCAGGATTCCCCCAGCTGCACCTAATGTTTGCCTGTGTGTCTCTGCATCTGTCTCCATCAGTTACTGAGTGAAGGCTCTCTAATGACAATTGGGATAGGCACTGATCTATGAATATAACAGAATATTCTTAAGCATAATTACACTGACGTTTTTTCTCCAATCATGTTCAGTTCTAACCTACGTCTCTGGGCCATCCAGCCACTGGGTTCAGGCAGTGTCAGGAGTGGGCTCACTCTTGTAGCATGGATCTCAGGCTGGGCCAGTCATTTTTGGCCACTCCTATAACCTCTGTGTCATCCTTACCCCGAGTACATCCCATAGGCAAGACAGACTATGGGTCAAAAGTTATGTGACTGGGCTAGTGTCCCAATCTCTCTACTGGAAGTCTTACCTGGCCACAGGAGATGGTTAGTTCAGGATACATATCCACTATTTCTAGGAGTCTTTGCTGGGATCATCCTTGTAGATTCCTGAGAGTTTCCCTTGTACCAGGTTTCTACCTGACCCCAAAATGTACCCCCGTTTCCAGCTATCACTTCCAATGCCCTTACCCTCAGGACTGCCCCTAATGCTTTGGCTGGCTTTTGGGAACTTAGTTCTCTTACTGAGTTGCCGTCCCCAGTCTTAAAACAAGGAGGTACTTAATCCTACCAAAACTTGATATGCCATGCTTTGTTGATACTCATGGGAGGCCTGCCCCTTTCTGAACATAAACAGAGGATGAATGGATTGTGGGAAGAGAAAGATTGGGTAGAGAGGAAGGAGGGGGAACTATGGTAGCAATGTAAAATAAATAAATTTAATAAAAAAAATTTAAAAATCTATTCCAATTATATGCACAAATTAACTTGGGATAGGTCATACATCTAATTGCAGAAGTCAAAGTTACAAATCTCATAGCAGGAAAGAGCTCAGCTGTTAAGACTCTTGCTGCTTTTCCAGAAGGACCTGGGTTTGGTGACAAGACCCATGCAACAGCTTACAAGCATTTATGACTCCAGATTCATTGATGCCCTTTCCTGGCCTCAGAGGGCACCAGGCAAGCAAGTGATGCACATATACACATGCAGGCAAAAACCTCATACACATGAAATAAAAATAAATAAGCCTTTCCAGAAAACTCTACAACTTCTAAAAATAACACACTAGAATGACTTTGGGGTAGCAAACATTAAAAAAGAATAAATACCAAAGTTCTAAATTGTAACTTACCGATATTCAAACTTATCATTCTTCAGCATTTATAAATAAATGTGAAGGTAAGCCAGAGCCTGAAGAAAACATTGGAAGGAAATTGTAGCTACATTACATCAAATACTCTTACTGGCCAGAAAAATGACTCACCAGCCTAAAGACTTTGCTGCCCACCCTGACATCCTTATTCCAACTCCTAGAAGTTGTCCTCTGACCCCCACATACATGCAGCATGCATGCGCGCGCGCGCGCGCGCACACACACACACACACACACACACACACACACACACACACACACAATGTAAAACGAAATACTTTTACAAGTGAATAATAAGGAAATAAGCAAGCAAACATAAATTAAAAATGGACAAAAGTCACTTCATCAGAGATACTAAGAGCTAATAAAAAGACAAAAAGAAGTTAGTGGTTAGCCATTAAGGAAACACAAATTGAGCAATGAGAAACAAGCTCACACAATAGAGAATATAAAATCAGGATGCATTTCCCTATTGTGTGAGGATGCAGAACAACTAAAAATCTTAGAATCATAAGGCTGACTAAAAGAAGCAACACAGAAAACAGCACACGGAATGGACTTCTTTTAGGAGATTGCAGATTGTGTGAAGGCAATTTATCTTAAAGAAAACAAAGCTTGGCTGTGTGAGTAGTTAAGAGCACACATGGGCTTTGCATGTAAAATATCCCAACATCATTTTAGCAATACTTTTTCCGGTGGATAAAACCTTCCTTCAAAATGACAATAATAACAGCTGTCTTTATTATGCTAGGTGTTGGACATTTTTTACTGGCATCACTATATTTCTTTACTGCAAGCTGGGTTAAGATGGGAATTGTGTTTTCATAAAGGCCCTTCCTCACATGGGTTCAGATGGGAGATGGTCAAAAGGAGAAAGAGTTGAGGTAGCAGTGATCTCTGCAATGTCAGAAGTTGTGGCATGTTCTTCCTTCCTCTGCTTTTTGTCTCACTCACTGTATTTCAACCACCATATGCTTGACTAAGGAGCCACAGAAGCACATAGAACCTATAGCTTCTCATAGATCTAACGGCCATGACTGCTGATTAGGGTGGCTGAACTTGAGTCTTCAGTGTGCAGAGCTATTGTTTTTCTCTTGTTATGAATTCTTACTATATACTTTCCCAATTTCCATGGAAACTGTGAGGTTAACTCCCATTGTGAATATTTTATATTATGCCAAACCTGTTGCTCTCTTGCCTTGACAATTTGTCCTTCCTTCCTTTTTATATACCACATTTATACACAAATGATACAGACATTTTTACAGTTTCAAGGACATATACATACCCTTCCTGTTTTTATTGCTTGTGAGGAATCTTTAAAAATAGAGTTCCACGTTTATGACTATTTGACTTGAAACTCTGTAAGTTGACTTTTCAACTTTATATGATGCAAATGTGCTAAGCATTCAATAGAAGCTGGAGTTGAGATTTTGAATATTGATATTTTCCTGTGCTGGAGATGCATGAAAAAAATCATTTCTTATAATACATACAATACCAAAAGTGAATCTCAGCCCCACATGGCCTTGTAACTATGATGGGGCTAAGGTACACTGCTAAGTACTGTCCTAACACTGGAGATTGAGTTTATAAATTTATCTCTAACTTAAAATATTTTTAGCTAAAATTAGTTTTTTAGTGTATCTCCCATCATGGAATAAAGAAGTATCAATTATGAAGGTCAATGAATAGCATTAAGAGAATATTTATATTTACATTAGAAATTAATCTCTATTCATAAGCCTGTTTCATTGATTGCTTTAAGTCATGTGAAATGGGACTCTAGACTTTTGTCAGAACAAACTGTTACTTGGACAGTCTCACATTTCTCATTTTACTATTAATATTCAACTACTTCATTTGAGATACATTTATTAAACACATATTATATTTCATACATTTCCAAAAATACCACATTTGAGAATTTTACAACAGGAACACTCACACAATAGAAAATTAAGCTGAGGAGGAATCATGAGCAAGGTACTGCATACAAAACTGAGCTGGAAGGAAATGCCTGAGAAGAAAGTGTGAAGTTTCCAAGGCAATCTTGACAGGGGATTCAGAGGAGAGTTTGTGTGGAAATCTCCCATTCCCATGTCCACCCCTTATTTTATTGTAGGATATCTTTATTTACCCTCCATTGAAACTGTCCTTTGTTCAAGGGGAGCATATTGGTAACTTCATTATTGTACAATTCTTACTAAATAAATATTTGCATGTGTTCTTTTAATAACATGAGTGTTAAATTTCCTTTGATATAAGTAAAGCTATTTGGGGTGGCAAATCAAGACATATAGCCAACACAGACTTGATAAATAGCATGACGTGGAAGAGTGTTTGCTGTGCAAGAATGGGAACCTAACCCTAGAACCTGTGTTACAAAAAATCTATGCATGCCCCTACCTATCTAAAGGGTGGCAGAGACTAGAGCCCAACACTGGACTCCTTGGCTTTTTTTCTTGGACCTGACCCAGTGACAGTTCCTGCCTCAGGTAAATAAGGTAGAGAGTGATAGAGAATTGGATGCCTTCCTCTGGCCTCCATGTGCACACAAGTGCATGTATCTGTATACACATGTGCATATACACACATATAACACACTCACTCAAGTATATATACACATACAAAATAAAAATTGGAAAGAAAAATAGCAATTGACAGAAATTTTCAAGTACATCTACCACCTTGACATGAATTTCTTAGCTATCTGAGAAATACCCTGCTTACTTGTTCACATTTATTGGAATAGTAATGCCTAGTTTACATGAGTTTTAAAGAACTCTAACCTATAGGCACCAGTAAAATCAGGATAAGCTCTCTTTATGAATCCATGTTGCATTTCTCAAGGCATCTTTGCTGTTTGGTTGTGATGTTTCAGTTGGGATCACAGCAGAAGGCAGATGGCACACCCACAGAGCTCATTTCAAAGAGTTTAATGAATTTCCAAAACTAAGGGACCAAGGAGTAGATAATGAAACACCCAACTATTATCAACACAGGAAGCTACTCCTGGGTGCACAGAGGGGAGGTGAACCTATTGGATTCAAGCAAGAACCAGGGCCTTAGAGAGAAATCCTTATGGTGCCCTGCAGGTCAACATAACCCAGAGACCAGAAGGCAGCTCAAACCCAGCATTATCATCACAGAGGTCACTCTCTTGGAACAAGAATCAGGGCATAGGAGTGCAGACTGAATCCCCAAGCAATCTTTCTTTTATAGGTATTTCTATTTTTCAATCAACCAGGGATAACACTCTTTTTCCTTCAAATCTCAAGGATACCTTTACAGTTTTATCAGTACTTAAGAAATAACAGAGCACAGGTGAAGTGAAAATCTTAGCAACCAGCTTGATGTAATGGAGACAAAAACAAACATATAGTTAGACATGGGATAGAAACAGGCAGTTTATTAAGAAAGGAAAAAGCGTTCCCAAGAACTGAGGTAAGTATTATTATTATTATTATTATTATTATTATTATTATTATTATTATATCTCCCAGTGATACACTTAGCAAGTGGACTACTCTACTTTAGGTCTGACAAGTCAGAAACATTTACTTTAGAAATGAACACATTTTCTTCCCAGAGAATCTAAGACAATTGAGACTAGACCCCAGACGTTCACTTTTTACTGACCAAAGAAGTCCTTATACCCAAAGGAACAGACCAGATAATCTTTTCAAAAGTTAACATTATCAGAGATTGCTAAAAATATGTCCTAGGAAGGCTGGGTGATGACTCTGTAGTTAAGAGCACTGGCTGGTCTTGCAGAAGACCTGGCTTCAGTTCACAGCACCCACATGAAAGCTAGCAACTGCCTGTAATTCCAGTTCCAGGAGACCTGAGGCCTTCTGTGTACACACTGTATACACATGGTGCATGTATACACATGTAGGCAAGACAATCATACTTATAAATGTACAAAATAACACTACATCACAGAATATGTGCAAATTCTGGGATGTATATTATACAATTTAAGCATTATTTAAAATTGAGAACTACAGAAATTGGTGCAGCTCATGTAGTCATTACCAGCTTCATTTTTTTCATAGATAAGGCAAGAGTTAAAGAGTAAATAGAGGCTAAATTTCCTAAGGAAAAACAAAGGATGATTTTACCATGTTCCATGAATCCAAGGTGCTGGAGCAAGGATGCCTGTCTTGAGCAACCTTTCCACTTCCGTTCTCAGAGCCTTTTAAATCAACTCTTTGATTTCACACTTTTGTTAACCTTTTGTCACTCTATAGCACAAAATGCCTTAAATGCCATGATTAGACTGCATTACATGTCAGTTTGTGCATCTAAGTGCAATATGGAACATGACAAATATTTTTTTTCAAAAGAAAGACTGACAAACTGATCTATTCTTGTGGTAACTTCAAATATTTTAGTCATAATGAGCACAGGACAATTTCACACTGGAAATTTTCAGACACTGGCCTAGGAAGAATTTAACAATTTTTTGTGAAGTCCATATGTCTGAAATGAATATAACTGAGCTGAGGTAGACTGACTACTATCCTGAGGATGATGCACATTTGTCAGAGTTTATTTTCTACCCTGTGACAGATCTGCAGTGATGGTCCAACTGACTCAGACTTTCTGGTTAATTTCTCACATTATAATAATATGATTTCTACCTTGGTAATCCAACAGATGGCTTATTTCTTCCTGCCTTGGGTATAAATGAGAAAGGGGATCAAATTCAGTGCCTGGTAGGGCCAGTGTTGAAATTCTAACACAAATCATTGACACCTTCACACCTGTGCACAGAAGTGATGCATCTAGTTGTCCATGCCAGCTTACCAATTTAACTGCCATGGCTCCACATCTCTGGTTTGGCATCCTATGGAGAGACCATTTGGGGGCACCATTAGCTGTTTGCCTCAATGTTGTTGTTATACATTTTTCTGGGCAGAACTTTACTATTTTTTTCTAAAGCAAGGTCAGGATTACACATCCCCCACCCCCTTACCAACCATTTCCACCACTATACTGGCCAAACTCCCAAAGATGAATTGTTCAGTGTAAAACATTGCAATGTTAAAACAGATGTAATTTGAGTATGGAGGGGATGGTTTTTTTAATTGGATGACAAATTCATACTTTAGCTAGAGAGATTACATGAATGTTACTTGTTTTGAAGCCTTATCTAGAAAACTGTATTTTTAAGTAGTAAAAAGGTATGTGAATTTTTGGCAATCCTTCCTGATGTGAATTAAAGACCCTACTTCCCATTGTTCCATATACCTCTTTGTCTCTCTACTCAGCAAGGTCTTTAAGGTTACATGAAGAAGTCCACATTTTCCAACATTTATTAGAAATCTTCAAGCAACTAAAGAACGCTAAATTAAACAAACAAAACTTGCACTTTCAGACCCAGAATATTCTATGTCCACAGATAATTTTTTTCAAGAATAACAATGGAGGCAAGAATTCTACCACTGAACCACCAGTGCAATTGAGTCAGGGGAAGAATAGAGGAGAGCAAGAAAAGAGATACCATAATAGACAGAGCCACTACAGGTTTAAAGAGAAATCTGGCACTAGGGAAATGTCCAGAGATCTTACACGGATGACCCCAACTAACAATCTAAGCAATAGAGGAGAGGCTACCTTAAATGCCCTTCTCCGATAATGAGATTGATGGCTACGTTATATGCCATCCTAGAGCCTTCACCCAGTAGCTGATGGAAACAGAAGTAGACATCTACAGCTAAATAGTGAGCTGAACTTCTGGAATCCAATTGTAGAGAAGGATGAGTGATGAGCAAATGTGTCAAGACCAGGCTGGAGAAACCCACAGAAACAGCTGACCTGAACAAGGTCATGGACCCCAGATTAATAGCTGGGAAACCAGCATAGGACTATTCCAGACCCCCTGAATGTCAGTTTGGAGGTCTGGGCAATCTATGGGGCCTGTGGTAGTGGATCAGTATTTATCCCATAGTATATGAATGGACTTTGGGAGACCACTCCACATAGAGAGATACTCTCTCAGCCTAGACACACAAGAGAGGGTCTGGTCCCTGCTCCAAATTATATGACAGACTTTGAAGATCCCCCATGGAAAGCCTAGCCCTCCCAGGGAAGCAGAAAGGGAATGGGATAGGGTATTGGGGGGGGCATGGGAGGAGAGGAGAGAGAGAGAGGGAACTGGGATTGACATGCAAAACAAGCTTGTTTATAATTTAAATTTAAAAAGATAAAAAAGAATAACAATGGTTCCTTTTTATAACCTTATTTCTAAATATTTTAAGAGCACTGCATCTCTAGTTTGTAACTTGAATCCAGTGTGAAAGTAGGCTTGTAATTAGCAGACATCACAAGCAGATTATCAGATAATTTTAAGTCTGAGATATAGGAAGAAACAGAATACATAATAAATACCTACATTTAAGGGAACGGGCTTACAGGGTGTATAACAGAATATAGATTTTCAAAGTAAATTATAGCTTCCTATTGGTAGGATTAAAAATTACTGTGTAGAAGATTAAATACTACTGTAGGGGATAGTAAGCCACGCCTGCTAGAAGCTGGCTACAGTTGTGCCTGACCATGCCTGTCAGGGCGTGGTCAAGGTGAGGTCAGGGTGATGCGTAATAGATTTTTAAGGGCTGCAAGGTACATGGGAGCCCCTTCTCTCTGGCCTGCCTGCCTTGCTGCCCCTGGCACACTCTGGCTTGCGTTTGGCTGGTGTTTATCTGAATAAAGATATCTTAACCTTACAGACTACAGATCATCATGTAATATACTACCTAGAAGCCTATGGAGAAATCTAAATAGTTGTATTTCCAAAATAGTGTAATCCTGAAGATTTCCAAAGAGAGTCTATTTCCCCACAATGTGCCTTCACTAGAGTGTGGTCAGCAATTCAACAGAGGTGCCCTGCTTTTCAATCTTGAACTCTTTTAAGTGTATTACAGTATATTTAAAATGCTTAGCAGAGTGTCTGATACATATGAATATTCAACAGCATTCCTCATGTCCTTGAAAATAATAGTGTGAATGTCCTAAGGCCAAATTTTCTACCACATAATAATGCAATACCAATCAGTTCAATAAAAGCTGTCAACCCAAGTAGCTGGAAGGGCTTTCCTTCCAAAGATGACCCCATCCATCCTTCCAAGAACCATACCCTCAATGATGGCTGGGATGGGCACAAGAAGTACAGCTTATCCAGTTGTATTCAAAACTGGGTTCTCTAGTTTTTTCTAGTCTTGTCTCTGGATACAGTATGTCACACAGGGTGCAGTCCCCTTTCTTATGCTTCTGAATTTTTAGTTCCCTAACTCCAGCACCAGTTCCTTCTTTCAAAGATAAGTTTCTAAACACATTAGCCTATATAAATGCTAGTTTTATATCCATTTAGTTCCCATCTCCACAAATAAAAGTTAACCCTTCTTTCTAGTATTATCATTCTATATTTTAAAGGACAGCAATTCCTTTATCCTGTACTTCATCTTAAAATTTTTACTTGTTCCATTGGCAATTGGTAGGTATAAGCATGATTTTACCTTTATTATTCACAGTACTATACCCATTTGAACTTAAAATGAAGTTGTACACATCATCATTTAACAAAAATTTCATTCTTTTGACTTAAAAATATAGATGTATGCCAATTTGTATAAATGTATGTATATATGTACTGATTTTTTCTGACTTTTAAATTGTTGAGCTTAGAGAAGTACATGTTGTTCAATGTACACGAAAAGAAGGCATACCTTTAACTCAAAAATCACGTGGACATCTGGGGCACTGGCTCAATGGGTAGACTATTAGCTGCAAAACCAGGGTACCCTGAATTCAAATTTCTAGAATCCATGTAAAAATCTGGGCATGGCTCTGTGTACACCTATAACCCCAACACTGTTGTGGGGCAGGGATAAGGGGTTGGTTGGGACAAGAGAATCATCCGGCTTCTTGCTGGACACCAGCCTGGCTAAAAGCTGAGTGAGAGATCCCATCTGAAGTGAACAAGGCAGACTAAAGCAGGACAGTCAAACTGCAGTTCTCCTCATATACAGGGGTATTGTCACTCAAACACTGCTTATAAACTACACGCATACATAGCACACACAGACTAATGTAATGAGGCTATTTTGTAGCAATGTGAAAATTTGTAGGAATATATGTCTAATTCTTAAGTGTTAATGAGAGTTAAAACAACTCTCTTTTGAAGTTATATACAGTCCACTAAGAAATATAGTTATAATATCATCTGTGACTCTCATTGCCATCCGCATAGAGAATTTCCTATTCCAAGCTGAGACAGCATTGCCCTTCATGCTGCTGTATTTTATAATAGCTGTCACAATATGTATTTAATGTAAGTATTCTTAAGACATTCATAAACATCTTTTTCTAGTACCATGGAATATTCATCTTTGAGAATATGAATACTCAAATTTTGTGGAAATGTACACCAGGTAAATTGGATTATAATAAGGAAGTGATGGAGGCTGTGCTGTAGTTTAATGTATGCACACAAGAAAGCATATCCATCTAAAAATTTGCTTAAAACCTATAGCTAGACAATTTAAGAAATTCTATAGTTCAATTTTAATTTTTACCTCAACATGCACATGAGTACATTTATATTCTTCTTTGCATAAATTAATGCAGACAAATATGCAAGACAGAATATTTTCCTTCAAGGCTAATGTGTAATTTTTTAGAAATGAAAAGAGAATAACTTTCTGAAACTTTTTTTTATTAAATTGAAATTTGAAAAAAGCAAAGTAGTAGAAACAATTCAGAAAATATGCATGCCTCTATGCAATACTAAGTTGTATTAATTAAACTATGAACATACTGTTTCAATACACATATCAAGTCATTACTTCTTTTACTTACTAACAGATGCTTTGACTACACTAAAACGTCTGGTACAAGCATATGAATTTATTTCAAAACACAGGAACCCAGACATACTTGTAAGGCACATACTTCTATAATCATAACTGTGGGAATTGCTACTAACTAGGCTAAAACAACAAATGATGTTACAAAGGAGGAGCATATGTTTCGGCATTCCAAAATGTTAATATATCCAAGCAGGATGCTAGAATTCTATGATACATTATAATAAAAATTGTCTGCCGTTTAATGAGTCTTGTTTGATTACCTGGGCTAGAAATTGGCAAAAGTTTTCCTCAACCTCCATTTTGATCAATTTAGGGAATTTAGGGTATTAGTGCAAAATGCTTTGCTAGCTATTCTGTACATTTTAAAAATTCATACATGCTGCATGGTGAGCATCAGAATAAAAAGAGATAATGTGATAAAGATGTCTCAGTGCTTCATTTTTTAATAGTACAGTTTCCCATAAATAATAGTTACAATGTTTATAAACTGAATTTTCATGTAAGAAAAAATTTAAGGCTATAAGGAATTTTAACTCTAAAATATCAGAACCCTTAATAAGGAAAAAGGCCACCGATAATCTAAGCATTGAAAAGAGGAAAATGGCTCTCCAATGGGCAAGGGAAAGGCACTATAATTAATGACTTTTTGTAGGGTTGGGAAACACATAGCCAGAGACTGGCAAAATGTTGGTCATGACTGAGTGTGAGCAAGCCTCCCCCACCCCCCTCTGCTATTTCCAGAGCATTGTTTTCAATCATCAGTCATGGGACTTCATTACATCATATGGTTAGTCTTTACACTTCTTACTCTTCCACAAAACTGAAAATACATTGAAGTATTGTCTGTGCCTCTACTGTGCCACCTTCCAGATATACAAGCTTACTTAGAAAACTGCCCTCAGAAGGAGTTTGTAAGAACAAAGAATGTGGACCTATAATCATAGAAAGGGGAAGCATATGTAATCCCATCATCTCCCCACTACTTTACCAATGCCTGGGTAACTGCCAAGAAATCTGGAAAAGCCATTGCAAATGTGTGTCAATTCTATAGAGAAAAAAATAGATTAGGAAAAGGCTAAGATTAGAAGCTGCTATATTTTATTTCAAATAGACTATTATATCCATGGAATAAAATATCATTTTGTAGTATTTTATTTTGTCTCCTTAAATTACACTATATTGCAGTGGTGATAATAATAACAGGGTCGATAATAATAATATAGAAAGTTGACAACGCACTTTCTATAGGCCTTTTACTACCCTTAAAGTTTACAGGTCTTGACACATTTAATCTTCTCTCTTACAGATAATATTACTATCCCCATTTTACAAATGTGGAGACTGAGGTGAGTGAGGAGAGGGGACATAACATCCAATCTTTAGGACATCTTTTGTTCACTTGAATTTAAATCAATTCCTATAATAATTGGCATGCTTAAATCTTATGTCATTAAAATAGAGTCTCCCAAAATAATTCTTTGCACTGCATTTCCATTTAAAA